TGTATCCTTTAGATGTAGAACTTCTTTAAGAGAGGACTGTGAATCCTTTATGTGGCTGGTGTTTTGCTTGCTGCTTGCTGTGCATATGTTTTACCCAAGATTCATTGGTTGAATGTCCACTGTAGTTTGCTTTTTCCTGAGGGACTTTCCTCCATTACTGTGTACAGATTGGGCCTTTGGCTTTACCTGTGATTTGTGTTTGCTTAAGATAATAGTTTACAAAGAAGCTTTTATATTGGTCAGAGATATTATGCCCTCATTCTGCTTAAGAGCTTTCAGTGGTTCTCTTTGCCTAGAAGAGTCCAAGCTTCGTAACATGACATGTAAAGTTGCCATGTCTCCCTGCCCGCCTTTCCTGCCTTGTCTTCCACCTCCCAGTTGGTTGACTTCACGGCTGCTTTCCTTTCTTGGAATTCACTGCACAGTTGTGGGCATCCTTGCTTTTTTGCTTTCTTCTTGCTCTTCTCTCCACGGGGAGCATTACCTTCTTCTTTGCTGGGAGGACTTCTTAGACCCCAGACTGGGTTAAAGCTCCTCATAGCTTCCTAAGTATGCTCTGAGTATATTCATTCACTTTATTCTGAAATTTTCTCCCTAAATTTCTGTTGTCTCAGACTGCAGGCTTCAAGAGGTGACATTTTCTTATTATTTATCTTTGTACCCTTAGAAGTTAAAGGATACTTGAACATATGACAGATGCTCAATAAATAGTTAGTGACCTGAATTGAACTGCAGCTGCTTGGTAGCAATATGTGTAAATATGGGAAGTAAAATTTTTGTGGAATTTGTCTAGGTTAACATCAACCACTACAAAGTCAGACTTTGGAAAGAGGCAATTTTAAACATTAAATAAGCATCTATATGATGATCCTCTTTTCTTCAAAGCTGAATTTGATTTAGCACACGTAAAACCAATTACAGGTTAACAAAATGAAGCTTTTGGAGTAGCACTTTTTGATCAGTAGTTAATCTGTTTAGATAATACAGACCTGGAGTAATCTACTCTGTTCGCTCTCTAAAATAAACTTGAAATATTACATATCTCATCACCAGCACCTCGTTTAGAATTTTTTTTCCCCAGAGTATTTTCTAGTCTATTTATTTTCCTTTTTTACAATAGTATCTTAAGCAAAAGATTAGTGCCCCCTAGGGGTAAACTGTTAGTGCAACGTAGTACACACATTTTAAAAAACAGTGCAAAGTTGTGCGAGAATTGTGTGAAATACAGAAAATGCTGCTTTGCCCTTGTTATGTAATTCATGTTACATAATGTAATCCCAGAGTATCTCATAGCACTTTACTGTGCTCATCACTTCCTCTAGCACTGTTTGTTCAGACAGTTTTGTGTCCCACAGGGAGAAAACATCTAAAAAGAGAACAAGCAATGTTTTATTAAAAGTGGAAAACAGAAGGTTAAGACTGTTGGCAGTTAGTATAGTCATCCGTGAAGGAAAGTTACCAGGCCAAATGTCTATGACTCATACTTAGGACAAAATAAAAAGCTTTTTTATATAGGCTTAACTGTTTAATTTCTGTGTTTCTCCTAAATTGCTCATATGATCAGATATTTCTATAGAACCCCAATTTTTTTCCTCAGTTCATTCACTACCACCCCTGTTCCCATAATGTTGATTTTTAATTTTTAATAACATTCTCTTGCATCCCATTCATTTGTGGTGAGGAAAATGAACCAATATTTTGTAAAGCACTTAGTGCAGGGTCAGGTATCTAGTAATAACTCATTGTGTGTGTATTTTTGTTTATTATCATTAATAATGGTGACATTCGATTTTTGTGGAATGACAAAGATGATAATAATGATATCTTACATTTGTAGAACATTTTTCATATGCAGTATTTCTGTGGACCCTCAGAATAATCACCTGAGACAGGAAAAGCAGGCAGTATTATGTGATAACCAATGCCTCAGGATTTTTTCAAGTGTTATCTTTGTTAGTCTATTTCTGCATTTTCTTCTAAAATTCTTGAGAAAGTAAGCCACAAGTCTTAAAAGTAGCTTTTCATTTTCTATGTTTTCTTTCAATTTCCAGGCCATTGATGTTGTTAGTCTATTTCTGCATTTTCTTCTAAAATTCTTGAGAAAGTAAACCACAAGTCTTAAAAGTAGCTTTTCATTTTCTATGTTTTCTTTCAATTTCCAGGCCATTGATTTTAAAAAATGATAATTTTATTTTCAGATTATAGAAGTTTTGTTCTCTAAATTGAACTAGAGGCCTTCTATTTTCATATATTTATTTTGCAAATAAGAAAACTAAGGCCTGGAGAGTTTAGGCAGTTGATGAAAATTCATGAGGCCAGTGGCAGAAAGAGGACTAAAATGCAGGTCTCCTAATTCTTTTTCCCTTGTAACAAGTTTTCTCTTTTTCTAATTTAGTTTTTCATGGCATAATATTATTATTCTCCTCCTCTAAACATGCCTAATTTAATTTTTCTTCATTGTCACATAAATATGATGGTGAAAAATGACACCTGGTTTTGGAAAGTTTCCCTGATATAGAGGGTTTAGTTCAATCTGCCAGGGCAAGTTGTGAAATTGCCTTCCTATGAAATAAGTGTTCAGAATCACACCCTATCTATAACTGTCCTGGAGTGAGAAAGACATAGGAAGTGGAATATGGAGTGAAATGTGAGTCTGGCAGGGCGTGTGTATAGTGAACCAGAGAACAGGGAATTCTCAGTGCTATGTGTTCGTTACTGTCCTGGGAGGCCCCATCCTGATCATGTGCTTGGATGCCACTGGCCTTCTGTGTGCTGAGAGTGTCAGACCTGCACAATAAAGTCATTTATTTTGAGAGATTGAGCAGCTGTCTGAGGATCTGGAGCTGCATAATAATGTTTATATAAATATGATCTCTTAGTGTTCTGTTCAGGCTCTTTTAGAGTTAAGCTGCTTTCTGGTTACAATGGAGCTACACTAAGAAGTGTGTAGATTTAGATGTGTTAACGTGTGTGACGTTCACAAGCTTGGCTTTTCTGCCTTGTTTTTAAGTAGGTCTTAACCTTATAAATTCAAGGTCATTCCCTGGAATGGGTGTGGGTGAATTCTTATAATGCTCTAGTATATGAGTAGAAAATTACAGTATTAGTATTCATTTTACTAAGTGCTCATCTGCATGTGTATGTGTCACACATGTATAGGTGAGAACCTGAAAATGTCCTTGAAAATTGGTTCATCTGTGAAATATAACTGAGGTCTTGAGGGGATTATCATTTAAGGGTATTCCAAGGTAAATATTCTTATGGAATAGATAATCCCTTTGTAGCTTATTTGGGAATTAATAGATTTTCTGGGTTAAGGATTGCCTAAAAATGTATTGTGGCTTTTTTTTTTCTTCAGAGAAATAAAGTGTTTTTTAACTTTCTTTTACTGTAGTATAATCTTATGACACCAAAGATTAAACTGATATTTCTTGGGAATTAAGAAATCAGAATAAAATGTCAATTTGTAAAGACTCACCTTCAGTTTTGCTGGCCAGTTACTTAGTGGTGGAGCTATTGAGCCTAAATTTAATATACTTATATTATTTGTGGTTAATGATGCTAGATGGGCAATTGAATATTAAAAGGTTTTGTGATTTAGGCAAAGTGTTCCAAAACACTGGGTGTAGGAGCTAGTAAATTTGATATGAAATTTTTTCATCATTAGTCAAAAATATTTGACACTAATAAAAGATGTTACAAAACATGCACATAGTCAATTAAGATTAAAAAGTTTAGTTTTAGTAGCATTTAAACTACTCTTTTGGAATGAAGAACGTTTGTTTCTAGTTTACAGTAGGCCTTTTCTCACTTGTTGTGTAGTCAGATAGTTTTGATCATTATTTTAGATCTTTTTATTACTTTGCGCTGTGTATTCACATGACGTTTTGGAAGTGCAAAGAAGTTTGATTCATGTGTATGAGACCTTCAGAGTTTACTCTAAAGACTGGCAGGAATATAGAGCTTGTGCACAGGTGAAGGAGGTGGGATTCTGGTCCCTGCCTCTTTCTAGACCACTTCCTTGGCTGCTTTCATGGGAGCAGCGCCAAGTAATGCAGCCCAGAATCACACTTAACAAATGAGAACATGGAAATGTGCCAGCATGCTGTGGAACAGCCATCTTAGTAGCCTGCTTTGGCACTTATCTGTCTAGCAGAGACCTTTTATTGGGCCAGCTAGGTACAGGAGCTATACCTATTGGGCAGATTGAACAAAGCTTTTGAGGAATCTTTGGTGGTCTGAGTGCTGAAATCATAGAATTAAATCACGTCTGTGAGTGGTGGAAGAGGCTGAGTGTTAATTTTGTGGTAGTGTTATGTAGTAATGAAAACCCTTCACCACAAAAAGATTTATGTTGTACAGAGGAAGGTTTGGACAGAGGCATTCTCACCTGACATATATAGATTATTTTTAACTTTTTATTTTGAAATAACTGTAGGCTAACAGAAAGTTGCAAAAATAGTACATAGTCTCATGTACCCTTCACCCTGCTTACGTCTATGGATTTTTAAAATGTGGAATGTGTTCTTGTGCAGCATCCTTGATCCTTTTGTGGGTGGCCAGTAGGAAGACCAACTGGCGGTGGTGCGTGCGTGCGTGCGTGCGTGTGTATGTGTGTGTGTGTGTGTGTGTGTGTGTGAACTCAACCCTCTTGTTAAGGTGGTTCTGGTTGCTGTATCAGAAATTGTGGATAAAGTCAGGGCATTGCCTATATTTAAAAAATTGTAACCCCATGTAGTGGTCAAGGCTTATATTTATTCCAGTATGTTAAAAATGTAATATTCTCCTTGTCTTTATGAATTATTAAACTGAAATTCTTCTACTTTTAGTTTTGTTTTTTAAATTTATATTTAGTTTTTAAGTAGTAAAAAGGAAAAATAAAAATAGCCATGTGAATGAATACCACATGAGGAGTGTTTTCTGTTGTTTCCTTCCTTGTTTAAGAATGTTAGGGATGATTCTGAGTTTTAGGACCAAAAGTTTTGCTTTTCTCTGTATAGGTTCGAAAACATGTGAATGATCTCTATGAAGACTTAAGAGATGGACACAATTTGATCTCTCTTTTAGAGGTTCTTTCGGGAGATACCTTGGTAAGTTTTACATTTCTTAATTTGTTTTGAAGAACGTGCAATTCTCTCTGTATATGACCAGTGTGTTTTCAACACAGACTGTTCCGATTTTTGCAACATTCATCCTTTGAGCTGTGAATTCTGCCTGAAAAAAAGAGTTCTGGTTAGCTTCATAAGCATTTCAGACTTCAAATGATGTAAATTTGAGAGATTGAAGCACTTTGATTACTTATATAATCAGTTCTATAATCAAAATCCTGTTTCCATTCTTGCTTCTTTTTTACCTTTGGGTTTTTTTGCTTAGCAGAAGTTGGATCCATAATATAACCATATATTAAAAAACTCACGAATAGCAAGGAAATAAACACCGCTTTCTGAAAAATGGTTTAACCCATTCTGCAGGTGTCATATCTTTTTTTTTTTTTTTGGTGAACATCACTTCCCCTTCTTGGTTCCCTATTCTCCTTCATTATGTTCTGTTCATGCTCTTCTTTTCATTTCTGGTCTGTCTTGTGTCTTTGTGGTTTAACCCATTCTGCAGGTGTCATATCTTTTTTTTTTTTTTTTTTTGGTGAACATCACTTCCCCTTCTTGGTTCCCTGTTCTCCTTCATTATGTTCTGTTCATGCTCTTCTTTTCATTTCTGGTCTGTCTTGTGTCTTTGCTGTCCTATCTTCTGTCTGTTATATTCATTAGCCAAGGGAGCGAGATATTTTGAAGACCTTACGATTGGTGAGTGCCACAGAAGCATGCGAATATGAACAGCATGAGGATGTGGAGGATGAGGATAAGGGGGTAGGTGTCGGCCCCCATAACTCGACTAACCTAGCCTTTCCAGTGTGGTGAGCGCTAACATGACAGAGAAGTAACTCACGGGGTTGGGCTCCTTTTGAGAAAAGTATAGAAAGGACCAAAACCCACATTGAGGTGGATGTGTGTGTACTGAAGAATTGGACAGAGGAAGTATTTTCTCTTTAAATTTATCTTCAGAGAGCTAGAATGATTGAATGAATTATGTATATGTTACTGTGCACTGCATGGTAACTGAACATAGGAAGGTACTTTGCAAAGTTCATGGAAAAATAGAATTGAAAGATAATATGAGTTTTTCTATGAACTTTTTGAAGTACCCTTGTATTTGCTTAAATTCTATGATGGCATTTTAGGTAAGGTAAGGAATTTTATATACATCGTATATAAATATGGAAATCTCACACCTAATGTGCTAATATTTATGCAAATTTATTCCCCTTCTGCAACTGATACTTCAAACATGGCAACTACTTGTTGCTTTTTTTGAAAGCACTTACGGAAATTTTATTTAGTATTTAAGTTTCTATTTTAAATCATACCTATTGGCAATAGGTATTTAATGGGCACTACCTATCTAATACAGTCTCATAGTATTTAGAAGGGAGAAAGATTTTTAAAATCTGGTATCCTGATAGAACACACAGATTTATTTAATCTCCATGACACTTAGTTGACTTCAGCCCACCTTTGCAAGACAGATATGCTTCTTTTGTCATCTGCATCCCTAGTGTCCCCTGATTTCATTGGAAATTTTGTGTTTGCTGGATTCCATGAGTGGATTAATCAACATCATTTCTACTCATTATGCAGATCTTATTTTTCCTGATGTGGTCTGCTGTCTGTTTTATTATAGCGCCTTTGGCTTCAGCAACCTATTCATATTTAAGAAGCTAAGCTGTCAGTTTTCTTTTTTCTTTTTTCCCTTTGGAAGATTTTATGTGATAAGTTTCAGCTTCATTCTTTGTATTTTTGTTAAGTATTTCTCAGCTCTGTTTCCTTATGTTTTCCTTCTGCTAACTTGTAGTGTTTCTTAAGGGAAACGACATTAAGGAAAATAATTATCTTATTTTATGTGTCCCTATTCCTGAGACTGAGAAATAATCATGTCCATCCCCATGCAGGGCAAAATTAGTATAGAGTCCTTTCTAATTATTGTAGAGTCCAATTTTGTGACAAAGCTAAAATACAATGAAGAGGAAATATGTTATTTGGCTTTAATTGCTTTTCGTTCTTCCTCTATCATGGCTAAGTAAACCTTCTGTCTTCCTCCTTCTTGATGATTTTTATACTAATTGCATGCTACTTTACCTCATTTTCATTAACATGCTATATATGTATATGTAACTAAGAGCCCTCTTGTGAGTAGTATTTATTAAGAAGGTGAAATGGGGAATGATATTTAATTATTTTTGTGCATCCATAGCTAAGTATCTGTAGAATTGTTCTATTAGCAAATATAAAAAGTATGTATGTTCTATGACATTTTCTCTTTTCCTTTTATTTAAATAAAACATTTAGAATAAAGTATATGTTTAAATAAAGCATATTCAGAAAAAATCTCTAGTACTTTAAATTTAATCCCAGATAATACAAAGAAATTAAAAATTTCTTTAAAAACTGTATGGGTTTACCTAAATAGTAAATACTGTTTTAATATATTAAGATGAACAGAAAATATATTTAAATTAGCATGGTCAATGGTATCAGAAACTACAATGTTTTTTAAACCTGCATTTTATCTATTCTTAGCCCAGAGAGAAAGGTCGGATGCGTTTTCACAGACTACAGAATGTTCAAATTGCACTTGACTATTTGAAAAGACGCCAGGTATGATGTTTTCCAAAGACTGTAATCTTATAAACATATGTGACTAAGTAAATCTGCATAGAGACATGTCAGGGAATAACAAGGTTAAATTTGGCTGTGAATTATAATCATTATGCTTGCGCTTTGGTGAGGCAAATATTTAAAAATGTTTTTAAACATTTGTCCCAAGAAAAGGAAGTTACTAGTAGGTGTGAGCCCAGAGAAATTACGAGTGGCTACATTTCTGTCTGAATAAGAGCTACTGCTTTTCCCTCTGTTTGAATTGGAATGCATTTGCCTAGGAAGCTAATGACATTTTAGTGGCAACAGAATGTTGAAAATGTCTGTGAACAGTTCTTAATAGTGGGGAAGGAATCCTTTATTGTTTACACTTAATATATTAAAAGGCTTCATTTTTATAAAATTATTTGATATAACACTGTTTAAAACTTAGTGTAAGCATTTTTAGTACTTAGTAGTGATGGGGCAATATTTTATTTTTTAAGTAGGTAATATTGGACAATTTATGAGTGGTTAAAAATAAAACAATATTTCTGACAATAGTCCCCAACTAACTTGAGGTTTCAGAAGAAATCATGGAAAAGAATGAAGAACACCAGGCTTACCAGTTAGCTCAGTTGGTTCAACAGTGTGGTGTTACAACACCAAGGTCAGGGCTTGGGATGCCTGTAATGGCCAGCTGCCAAAAAAAAAAAAGCATGAAGAATGAACACCGCCACATTGGACATTATCTTGATTTGGTGGTGGCATATTGTATTATAGCAGCATAAGCCAAAGTATAAGTAATTTTTCAATTAGTAGAAAAAAGAAGAAAAAGAAATGGAGAAGAGTTGAACTTACTGAAAACAATGAGAAATCAGAAGTAACAACAATTTTGCTTTTTAATGGAGCAGGAACAAAGGAAGAGAGGGAAAGGGGGAGAGGAAACACTAGTTCTTATTATTCCTTCATTTAGTTGATTATGAACATTAAAATGCTTATAGTTATTAAATACTAGTAAATTCTCAGTGCTTAAACATTTTAAATGTTATTGGTGTTTGCCTCATTATTCTTCATTCTAGTGGAAATTTCCAGAAGGATTAATGGATAATTATGCTGCCTTGTCTGAAATATTTTTGACAATATTTTATTTTGGAAGTAAAATGTTAGATATCATGGTTTATAATTCTGAGTATTTAATTCAAGATATTTAATTCTTTTGCCCAGGAAGTAAGTGTTAGAGATCATCATTGCATTTGTTTACCTGAATGTGCAGTTTGACAGTTGATAAGCTTTAAGTCTGAGTATTATATTATTTTTTGAATATTTGATTAGCTTTCCAGATGCTCAGTAACTTATATATTTATTTATAGTAGATTGAGAATAACAATTCTAGTTTTTAAAAAATTCTAAACCTTTCTGATGGAAGTGTGAGAAAGTTGTTTAAATAATTTTATGGTTCAGGACAGTTTCCTACTTAATGGTAAGAGTGAAGTAAAGCTTATTTTCAAAGGACAAAATAATTTCTAATTTTAAGATCTCAAGTATTTAGAACTTCTCATTTAAGTTCTATTTTTGTTTTGATAAGTGATTGCTTTTAGTATTTGCTATACAAGACAAAACCACAATAAAACCTGTTTTTCCTTTGTGGTTACCCTATAATTTGTAATCTAAAATGATTGAAGATAAGGGTAAATCAGTATTTAGGAGATTACTGGTATTTAAATCATTTTACTTTTTCTTTTGTATAATTTAGAATTGCTTTTATGTAAGTAAACATAACTCATGCTGTTTACTACACAATTTGTTTTATCTCTTCTTCACATATATAACAGGTGAAATTAGTGAATATTAGAAATGATGACATAACAGATGGAAATCCCAAGCTGACTTTGGGATTAATATGGACAATAATTTTGCACTTTCAGGTAAGCCCAATTTTTCTTAAAAATTGATTTTTTTTTTTTAGAAAAAAACATTTTAAAATGATTTCTTTTAGCTCTCATTGCTAGTTTTCAAGTGGTTCATATGAAGGATGAATTATGCTTTCATGCCCTTTGGATGAAAAATAAATTTCAGGCTTCTTTTTTAAAGCAGTATATTTGTTCTTTCAAGTAACGTGCCATCTGTGAACCTGGTACCTCATTTTCTGTTTTCCATGAGCTTAAATGTAGTTTAAGGACAATGCTTGTAATCTCAGAGTTGGAAGACAGAGATTTCTTTTTATTGAATGCAGACACATTTCTTTTGGTCATTGGACAATATTACCTGTTTTAGAGACATAAAGATTTTATGACTCAGTCCTTATTTAGAATGATTTTTATTGATATTACAGCTTCTCAACCATGTAAACCATTTTCTCCTTTGATAGACACTAGATGGCAGTATAATTATCCTAAAGAGAAATGAATTAGAAGAAAAGTATATTTTGTATAGGGCTTTGCCTTCTCAATCTAGATTTGAGGGGAGTAAGTGCAAATATATTGAATATGAATTATTATCTCATTAATCTGTACCAATTGAGGACTGATTTTGATTTACGTTTTATGAAATTATACATTTTGAAAAAATCATCTTCATTTGATTTAAGGTGACTCCTAACTTTGGAACTTAGTTAATTAACTGCTTATCTGCTTGTGAAATGTTCAGTGTGCAGCACAGAGCCCAACCCACAGTAGGCGCACAGGACATTTTACTGATTAATTACTGTGCGTTTGGACATTGAAGGAGGAAGAGATAGCTTGCCAGCTTCTGGAAGGAGCTGGGGCTTTGAACCAATTCTTGAGAGGAGTAAGATTTAAAAAAGAATTTTGGCTGAAATGTAGGGTTTTTAGGGGAATGGTGGAAAATAATGTACCTGGGACACATTTGGGAATAGGATAGATCTGACAGGTATGAAGAGGTACAGGAAGTAGAGTCTAGGTGGGTTGCAGTACCCGACAAGCAGCTAAGCAGTTTCAGCAGTTTGAAGTTGGAGACCCACGTAAGCAGAGAAAAGGTATTAGCTAGCTGGACTGCAGGGCAGCTAGTACAGGTGAATGTCCACTCAGCTAGGTTGTTGATGTCAGGGAGAGCCAGTAACAGGAACTGGAAGCCAGAACTCCAAAGGCCTGAGGGTCTCCAAGACTGCAGGACCCCATCCTTAGGGGATCATAAATACTGAGTACTGAACCAAGGTGGGGATTTGCACATGGAGCACAGAGCCAGAAATGTTACCAGAATTGGGTAAAGTCTAAGTAGAACTGGCCAAAAAGCAGATTTCTATTTTCTTTTTTAATTAATTATTTTTTTATTGAATCATAATTGATTATACATATTTTGGGGATTCAATGTTGACATTTGTTGATCAAATCAATATTATTAGCATATATATTGTTATAAATTGTAATTATTCTTTATGCCCCTTGTTCAGTCTCTCCCCATGTCCCTCTCCCTTCCCCCTCTAGTTACCCTAGATTTCTTCTCTCCTTCTGAAAGAATAATGGTTACTCTGTTGATTTGTTGCCTAGATGATCTGTCCAATGCTGAGAGGTGTGATCAGGTCCCCCAGTATTATCATAAAGCAGATGCTTCTTCTGTCACTCTGAAATGGGCTTTGTGGAGAGAGACATCCTCTTCTTTTCTTTCTCTCTGCTGGTGACTCTCCTTGTGTCAATGCACTCCAGTGGCTGGAGGACCATCTGTGTGATGGTTGTGGCATCTAGCTGCTTTTGCAGCAGCCATGGTTATTGTGGTGGCTGTGGTGGGCCACCCACATGGAGGTGATGTTTTTGGCATACTCCTTGGTGCTGGCAGTGTGCCTAGTTGTGGGGAGTGTCTGGTTCCTGGCTTCATGCCTCAGGTCTCTGGGTGGGCCCCAAGGCGCTGGTGCAGTGTGCCTGGTTGTGGAAGGGGATCTGGTCCCCTTCTCCATCCCTCGGGTCCTTGGGCAGGACCTGAGGAGCTGGCATGGTGTGTCTAGTTGTGGGAGGGGGGTCTGGTCCTCTTCTCCACACCTTGGGTCCCTGGGCGGGCCTTGAGACACTGGCACGGTTTGCCTGGTTGTGGAGGGGGGGGGGGGCCAGTCCCCAGATCCATGCCTCAGGACACTAGGCAGGCCCTGAGGTGCTGGCATGGTGTGTCTGGTTGTGGGAGGGGGTTCCAGTCCCTGGTTCCATTCCTCAGGTCAGCCCCAAGGCACTGGCATGGTGTGTCTGGTTGTGGGAGGGGGTTCCAGCCCTCTGCTCCATGCCTCAGGTCCCCTGGCACGCCCTGAGGTGCTGGCACAGTGTGCCTGGTTGTGAGAGCGGGCCTGTTCCCCTTCTCCATGCCTTGGGTCCCTGGTCTGGCCCTGAGGCACTTGCGTAGTATGCCTGGTTGTGGGTGGGGGGGTCTAGTTCCCAGCACCATGTCCCGGCCCCCAGGTGGGGCCCCGAGGCACTGATGGTGTGCCTGGGTGTGGGTGGGGTGGTCCAGTCCCCGTATCCATGCCCCAGGCCCCCAGGCATAGCCCCAAGGCACTGGTGGTGTGCCTGGTTGTGGGAGTGGGGTTCAGTCCCTGGCTTCAAGCCTCAGGTCCTCTGGTGGCCCTAAGGCACTGGTGGTGTGCCCAAGCTGGAACTAATTTTTTGTCCTTTGCTTACTTCTAAAACGGGGGAACTTCCTGTGGGAACCAATCCTTGAGCTGTGTGGTTGAGCTAAATTGCTGCTTTGCTGCTATTTCCCAAGGGAAGGGTTTTTGTGCAGCTCAGGGTTTAATAGTTGACCTTATTGGTATTTCCGGCTCTGTGGCTCTCCAGAGACCTGGTATACCTCAGTTGTGTAGAAACTCTGATCTGAGCCTGAATGTTTTCATAAAACTGCACCCCATGCAATTCTGCATCCCTGACCAGTTGCCTCTGAGTGGTCCTGCACTGATCGGGGGGTGGATCAGCTGTCGTTGCTATGCCCCAGTGTTCTCCCAGTGGGCCCATCTCACCTACTGCCTGTGTTCCAAACATTTCCCAAGGGATGGGCCATGCACCAGTCCTTTGTGATGACTCACTGGCCTCTGAATGGCTCCCCCTTTTCAGCTTTTCTGGCTCGTCGCTCCTGTGTGTGTCTATAGGAACACTATTAGTGGTCTTGCTGTCTGGGGGGTCCCCCAAGGCCCTCATCTTCCCTGCCACCTCCAAGCAACTCCATCTCATGGGCACAGCTGCAGCTTCTGCTGGCTCCTGCTCCATGTGCTCAGCAGCTCCAGACTTAAAGCGGCCATGGCCCAAAATGCTCTGGGCAGTTTTTTCTTTCTTTTGTCATGGTTTCTCCCACCTTCATGAACTCCGTAGGTCTCTCTTCCTCTTCCCCTGAGCTCCAGCAGCCCCAGCTTGGCTGATGTTACATTTTTATAGTTGTAAATTGTTGATTTGTGGGAGAGACCATCTGGGGTCTATCTGTCTGTGGTCCCTGCTGGAGACCATCTATTCCGCCATCATGACCAGACTCAGCACTATGTTAAATTAGCACTATTCTGACATAAGCACTATTCTGACATCACCAGTATTCTAATATGAGCACATATTTGACATGAGCACTATTATGACATCAGCACTATTCTGACTTCTCCACTATTCTGAAAATAGAACTATACTGACATCAGCAATATTCGGATGTTATCACTATTCTCCAAAAAGCAGATTTCATGTTGAGTTCCTCAGTGGCTTTCTTGAGGATTCTGCAGTTAGCCCTAAATAGATCAGGTACCCAAGCTTTTAGTAGAGTTGAAACTGCAAGAATCCTTGATAGGAAGGCTGGAGGCCTAACAGAGCAAGGAACCAGTCACTTCATCACCACAGACCTGGTGAGGCAGACTGTATCTGATTTTGAATGTCAGACTAGGGGTCACTGTGGGGCAGTGGAAAGCAGCCAGGCTTTCCTGGAGGGAGACAGAACTAAGTTTCATCCTGGGCTCTTTTACTTACTGCTGTGACAGCGTTGGGTGAGTCACTTAACCACTCTGAACTTGAAAAATTGTGTTTTAGAAAACAGAATCTATTGATAGCATGTAAAATAGGTAGAAATGAGCAGAGTGCATAGTTAGGGAGATAAGCTAAGAAGCTGAGTTGGGGATCTCAGAGTGGAGTGATAAAGGCCAGGACTCAGTTGGCGATAAAAAATGGAATCCAGAAACAGAATCTATTGATAGCATGTAAAATAGGTAGAAATGAGCAGAGTGCATAGTTAGGGAGATAAGCTAAGAAGCTGAGGTGGGGATCTCAGAGTGGAGTGATAAAGGCCAGGACTCAGTTGGCGATAAAAAATGGAATCCAAGGGATGATATTTTGAAGGAAGAAAGGAAGGGACTTGACTACAGGGCATAGAGGATGAAGAAGGATTAAAGGTGATGAAAGTTTTTAGCCTGGGAGATCAAAGACCAGTAAACTACTGAGATACATGGGGGTGATGTTAAGGGGAAAACTAATGACCTTTTGGATGAGTTTAATGGGATGGTGGGATAGCTTCTGTATCTGTTTACGTATAATTGAGAAATGTGAGCAGAGCCGATCTCAGAAGTCAGAGGTACAGATAATGAACTTGGAGTTGTCAGTATACAAGTGGTCATTGAGTGTATCATGGAGAAGGAATCTTCAGAGGATCCAAGAGAAGAGCATACATGAAGGAAGCACCAAAATCTAAGGACAGAAATTTGGGGAAGTCCTGTGATTGTAGGTGCAGAAGAAGATTCTGTTGAGAAAACAGAAAAGGAACATTTGGAGAGATGGATGATACAAAAGGAAAACATATTGATGAAATCAAGGGAAGAGAATTTCAAGTAGCAAAGAATAGTGAGCAGTATGAAATGCCACTAGAGACCATGAGAAAATTAAGAGGGAGTGCAGACTGATAGTTTTGTCTAGAAGGAAAACATTGGAGATCTTGGAGAATATACTCCTAAGCTACTGGGAGCAGA